GCAGCTCCCACTGCTCCAGTTCTCAGAAGTTTTTTGTTGTTTGTTTTTTGAAAAAATTTATATTAATTTCAGAGAGGAAGGGAGAGGGAGAGAGAGAGAGAAACATCAGTGGTCAGAGAGAAGCCTTGATCCGGCTGCCTCCTGAGCATGTGCCCTGACCAGGAATCGAACCGTGACCTGGTTCATAGGTCAGCACTCAACCTCTGAGCCACGCCAGCTGGGCTCTCAGAGATGTCTGCATTTTCTTCTGACTTACGACCAGCACTTGGCCCCTCCGTCCGGACGGCCTTTCTTCTCCACTCCTGCAGCTCGGCCTTCCGTTCGACTTTGGGAATCAATGTCCAACCCAAGACCAAGGAAGAGAGACCCCAGGCCCAGGGGCACACCTCGGATGCGCACCTGGCAGCGTCGCCTGCGCCCCCGCCTCGCCCACGGGCTCTGCCCTCGGCAGGTGCGGTGTGCCCAGGCCTCGTGTGCCCAGGCCTCCGCCGCCTCAGCGAACCAGAGCCGGCGTTCGTGCGCCGGGGTTGGGAGCAGGGCAGGTGAGGGTCTGGAGCTGACCAGTGTTGGGATTAAAGCGAGTTTGGATCCATTGTCCCAATGACAGCTGGGCCCCGACTGCCTCTGTCACCCCAGGCATGACCCCTCCTCCCCTATTACGGTCAGAGAGCCCCAAACAAAGATTTCCACACGGAATCTTCCCATTTTAACAGAACAGCCCTCACTTCAGCCAGAGAGGAGACTTCCAATAGGATTCTTAAGCCTCTGAAAGGGGGATGCGCTGCCGCTCACGTCTTCCTTTGTGAAACAGATTGGAACCAAGATAATTTGGGATAAACAATTTGGTATTTTATCTGAATTTACACAATATTTCTGAGCAGTGATAGAAGAAAACCTGGCAGAGGCTGTTCATCTCCCCCTGGAACGGAGGGCATACAAACTAACGTTAAAAGCTCCCTCATGGCCCCCTGCTCTTGGTCGGTTTCATTTAGTAAAAACTAGGGTTTCTTTTTAACTTGTGGTAACCCACGGTGGGCTTCATCGAGTTAAACTCCTGTGATGGCCCAGGAGGGGCTGCCCCGGGCACTGCTCCCGGCCCGGCTGTTCATTAGAGGCGGGGGAGGCGGCAGGCAGACAAGCACCCACCTTCCCTGCAGAATGATTGCGTGTGTGTGCGTGTGTGCGTGCGTGTGTGTGTGTGTGTGTGTGTGTCCAGCCCATTCCCGAGCCGCCAGGCCGCCCGCTCCCTCAGGCCTGGGCCGGGGCAGGGCCCCGCTCTGTGTGGACACTGCTCTTGAGACACCAGTAGTTCCCGGGGAGTCAGATTGCTAAAGCGGTGTCCCTCTTTCTGTCCTACATGCAGCCATTCTTTTTCCTCCAGCCCCGAAGGAAAGGACTGGAGCCGCTGTTTACAGCGTGTTAATGTGGCTCCCGGTGACTGAAGTCCAAGGCTGGAGGCCGAGCAGTGTGCTCAGACGGGAGGCTGGGCCGTGTGCCAAGACGGCGGCTGCCACGCTGCGGGCTGTGCCCCGAGCGCAGGCGGCG